GAGTCCTGCCGTCGGACTTACTACGCCGTCTACATCTTCTTCGGCATGCTCACTCTGACATTCAACCACACTCCAGCAATGAGCTTCGACGAATTCGACAATCTCGAGCTGCCGTCCTCCGAGTCGATGTGGAACCTGGACGTCAATGACGACGAGGCCTGGCGTCGTAGCCTGTCCTCTGCCAGCACACTTACCGTCCGGGAAGCTCACGACTGTCTGTTCCAGGGCGAACAGACGCGTTACAGTGCCTTTGCCACTCGGGTCTTGATCAATGCCCTTTTCTTACAGGTGTGGAACCACAAGAGGACCTTTGAGGCACTTCAGGACGTGGTCACTGAGTACAAGCTCCGCCTTGCGCTGGAGACATGGGAGAGTTCTCTGGAAGTTTGCGAACCAGAGACGATCGTCGTGCCTTTGAGCACGCCTCAGAACGGACATCCATTGATCTTCAACTCGATGGCTGTCTATCGTAACACACGTGCTCGGTTAGAGGTTGACCTCAAGTCGATCCAGGAAGCCTTGCGCTACCATTCTTCCTACGAGGTTGCTGCTGCGATGACAGTGGCCCGTGAGAAGGTGAAGCGGTCTGGGGAGATGAACAAAGTGATCCAGTCTTGTTTCGAGTGCATCGAGATTGCAGCAGTCCAAGGCATCAATTGGGTTGCCAAGACGTCGGCAACAAATTGGAGTGTCGAACATCCGCTCTGTGGCTTGGATCTGATGGTCATCCTCAGTCTCTGGCTCTATCGCCTGGAACATGACGAAGAGCCCGCGACCGAGGCTGAGCTGGCCATCTACAACAAGGTCCGGAATCTGTTTGACGACGACGCCGTTGACGCTTTTGGTAAACTCAGCTCCACTGTGGCCCGTGTATGGGGTAACATCCTGGACGGCGTGGTAGTCTGGGGGTGAGTTGGTCCTCCAGTCGAAAGGTGTAGAGAGTTGATTGCTAACGTCCTTTTCTGTTTTAGAATCACCAAGCTCATGGGCGAATCGTTCAAACTTCATGCGCAAGCCTTGATCGGCTATGAAGACTCGCTGCGCGTTGCCAAGGATCAACCGATTCACCCAATGCCAACCAAGACACTTGCTAGTGTCGGGACTGCCTACTAGTCTCGACAGTAAGCATTTGGACCCATTCAGTGTACCGACAGTACATCTTACATATTGCGGTCCTCACTTCCTTTCTGCGTTCTTTGTCTTTTATTGCGTATACTCTCATTACTGGGCACTCATTCTACATTTGGATACTGGCTAAATTTCGGAACTCGGGGTCGGGAATGAATTCGCAGCAGGTGGGCGGCAACGTGTGTTCTTCAACGACGGAATACGATGATCTGAACTGCCGCATAATGCTCCTTGCTGGTGATTCCCGACTGATATAACTACTCTGTTGTTTTTGTGTTTTTCTGATTTTGTTTTGCTCTTGCTCTTCTCCTCCTCAGTTGAGGTGTCTTTCTTTCTCTTGCATTTATCATGGTTCATCCTGTTGGTTTTGGCAAGAGCTCACAGGAGTCCGGTGTGGTCATTTTTTGCTTTTTGTTTTCATGGGTTGTTTGTCCCAGGCAACATCTCGACACCCGGCTGGTCCTGTGTGTTCTCCCTCTTAGCACTTGGTGGAGTTGTTGTTTTCGACATTTTCGTTTCGAAGAACCCTTAATTCCTAGTGCGCATCAGCATGTTTGTGGTCAATCTGCCGATTTGATTTGTCCCTGGACCATATTGATACCTTGTTCGTTATATACTTCATTGGCCTCCTTTTATTCTCAACTTTCTCTTCATGTCACTCCTTTCGACCACTATTGATTATTATTCCTTTCTATTCTTTGACCACCATATTTTTGGATTTTAATGCCTGTGCTGAGTTAGAATCGTTCTGAATCGTTATGTGTTTACGCCGTCCCCGCAGCATTGTTGATGTCATTTTCGCTTCTCTCCTCTCTATGTCGAGTCGTTCTTCATTTCTGCGCTTGCATGTTGCGTTTGTGCATTTTGGCTTTCTGCCTGCGTTAATGTTTATTCGTTTGTTGACTTCCTTGACCTTGGACATGCTCTATCGTTGTAGTACCCTGTACTATAAGTAATTTCCGTGCAAAAATATATCGTTTAGCGGGGATATCCTTGAGTCTGCGTAGAAGTCTATCTATCGTAAGAATCCATAGTCTTGATTAGATATACAGAGAAGATCTGAGTGAACATATACAATAAGGGCCGCCGATGGGTTAATTATGTACAAACAGGGACGACGAAACCCCGAGTCCAACCGAGCGAGCCCACGATCACCACGAAAAACCCCAGTGCCACGGCAACGCTTCCGACACCATACACATACGCCTGCCGCCGTCGACTGAGCCCATTCAGCTCCGCGACCCAGGTACTCACCGTCGTCGCGCAGCCACAGAAGCCATCCATGACACCCTGAAGCACCTGACAACTCGTGAGAATCGCATACGGCGCCGAGCGCGCATCCGCCCCGATCGCCGTCCCGATCCCGTCCACCCGCTGCAGATCAAAGCACATGGCTAGCACGACCGTGCCGAAGATATTCACGGTGAAAGTCCCTAGCGGGAACGCGGGCACGCGCGGGTTGAGGGACAGCGAAAGATAGTATCGCAGGAGACAGCCGAGCGGGGCGAAGACGACGGCGAAGACGGCGCGCCCGCGCCAGGTGTCTGGGGCGTTGGCGCTGCTGTTGCTACTGGCGGAGCGATCTGGCGGCCAGATAGCTAGGAAGACGGCGCCGAGCCAGCAGCCCCAGCCCAGCAGGACGCAGAGCGGGTCGAGGACGCGGCGGGTGAGGCGGAAAGGGAAGGAAGGGGTGAAGCGGTCGAAGGCGAGGGCGAGGTGGGCGCCGCAGATGAGCGCTGAGAGGCTGAGGGCGACGGTGGTGAGGAGAACGGCGAGGAGAGCCATGAAGCTGTAGCCGCCATTGCGGGGGCTGATTGATGAGACGGAGGGGTTGGGGAGGTCGTTTGTGAGGGCGAGGAAGACGTCGCGGATGAAGGAGGAGAAGGAGGTGAAGCTGCCGCAGAAGCCGGTGGTGAGGCCAATGTAGAGCGGGATGGTCTTCTTGACGGACTTGTGGTTCTGTGCGCGTTGGCGCGTAGCGTCGCTATCTTCGCCGAGGTGATGAGCGGGTGGTTGGCCCCATTCTTCGCGGAAGAGATTCTTGTCTTCGAGGAAGAAGCCCATTAGGAGGGAGCCGCCGACGTTGGGCCATAGGACGCCGGTTATGACGGGCGCGCCGGGATAGAAGGTGAGCGCTTGCAGGCCCAGCCTGGCCAGGGTGCCGAAGATGGAGAATAAGACGAGGTACGAAAGTGTGAAGAGGTGAGTGGCATGTTTGGAGAGCGGTTGTGTGGTGGGAGTGCGCTTTGCGGGTGTAGGTTCGATGGGAGCCGAGGGAGGCTTTTCGGCAGTGGGAGGCAGCGCGTAGCCGGTGGAGGACCAGGACCGACGCTGAGGAGGATCTGAGGGTGTAGGAGGTGGAGCAGTACTTTCAGAGAGACCAGCGGGCTGGTCTTCGGACGATTGCTGCATGAGGATGATGCTTTTTCAAGCTCTTGTTGAGTACGCCCAATGCCAAGAGAAACGGAGAGACTGGTGACGGGAGGTGCAAAGAGAGGGTGGGTCTGCTGTTATCAGCGAGAGATACCCCATGGAGCTGTCTGATAAGACGTCAAGATGTCATTGATCCATATCGTTGGCATGTCAACAGAGATATACTCCATAGAGAAGAAGAGATAATGAGACATGAAGGAGAGATGAAGAGGAGTGGATGAAGGGGGCTCAGCAGCTGTTTTCTTCCTGCGGCATGCTTAACTGCAGCTCATCCAAGACACCGACAGTGATACAACTCATCAGCCCCTCTCTATCCCCTCTTCATCCCTTCCTCGAATCCCTCTTCTTTATCTGCTTCGCTTTTGCATCTCACAGTAACCATCATTCGAATCTAAGATGACGCTCCCCTCGAATATCCATGTTTCCTCCCATCCCTGTCTCCAGGCCAAACTCTCCCAGCTCCGGTCGCATTCCACCTCTCCTCGCGAGACTCGCAGTCTGGTGCATGATATTGCAACCATTCTAGGTGTGGAAGCATTTGCTGCCGGGTTGAAGGTTGCCAGTGGTGAAAAGGTCGTTATCCTTGCTGATCAGGAGCTCCAATACTCCAAAACCATCTAATCTGATTCCCTACCACAGGACAAAACCCCGCTAGGCATAGAGTATGAGACGAAGATAATTGACCCAGCCAACGTGGCATTGGTGCCTATTCTCCGATCAGGATTGGGCATGATTGAGGGTATCCCTATATTTTCTCTTGTCTATGGACGTACTCCGAACTACCGCTGAACCGTGCTCAAGCTATCAACGACCTCCTCCCTACCACCGTCCCCATCTACCACCTCGGCCTCTTCCGCGACAAGTTCACCCTCCAACCAGTGGAATACTACAATAACCTCCCCTTCCTGCGCCCCGACTCCCCCACCAATTCCACCGCCGCCGCCCTCGCCATCCTGCTCGACCCCATCATCGCGACCGGCGCCACGGCCGAGGCGGCCATCCAGCTCCTCCGCGAATGGGGCGTGCAGCGGGTGATCATGCTCAGCGTGCTCGGTTCGACACCGGGGCTTCGTCGTGCCGCCGAGTGCTGGCCCGAGGGCGTGGAGCTGTGGGTGGGTGCCGTCGACGAGCAGTGCGATGAGCGGGGGATGATTGTGCCTGGGGTGGGGGATATCGGCGATCGCTTGTTTCTTGCAATTGGCAAGTAGTAGGCGCTGTCGCAGGAGTACCAGCAGCGGTATTGACCTCATTCAGATCAAATCATATCATATCGAAGCATGGCAGACAGACAGAATATCCCATTAAATTGACCATATAAGTACTCCGTACCATCAGCGCCATTGCCTTGTAAACCAACCAAACCGTAACACATTTTTCCACCCATTATCCCATTTCTACAAACACAACATAACTCGATCACGACCATCACCCGATGCCCCTCATCTCATCTCGGTACCTCCAGCCCCTCCCAGCGCCCCAATCTCCCTACGCATCTTCTCCCTTGGACCTCCAACTCCCGGGAACCGCTCATACCGGAACGCCCGCTGAGCAAGCTCCCTCTGCCGATCCTTATCGCGCTGCTTGTCGCGGCGGTCCGCGGCTTCATTGATATTGCTATTAGCCAAGTTCCCTTCTGATTTCAAACTCGCACGTGGAGTATGGAGTATGGAATATGGAATGTGGGGTTGGTGGGTGGGATTGATTGCCATACCCCGCCAGAAATAGATGTATACCGCCATGATTAGCAGACAGGCGACGATGAAACCGAACATGACGCCTAGCTCGTGGCCCAGGGAGGGCATGGGTGTGTATGGGGGTGTGTTGTTTGGTGTGGACATTTTTTTGAGGACCGACGACCTGATGGCTTGCTGTTATTGGGGTTATAAAATATGAGATGGTGATTTGTGAGCGGGCGCGATAGCAAACCCAGTAGATGGGGAGAGTTGTTGGTGAGGTTAAAAGAGAATAAGGCTGGCCGAGGAGGCTGATCTGCAGCTCAGCCTCTCGTATCCTGGAAGATGAAGCAAACAAAGAACCGAATCCTGTTTTGGTAGAGTGAAATGATTGGACGAGATGTCAAGTTTATTAGCTATCATCATTGTAATCATGCCTTGGTGGCAGAATTAAGTAAGGTAGTAGTAGTAGGTACATCATTGGTCGTCTTCACACCTGCAATCAGCCATATCAATATCCATGAAAGTAAGAAAAAGAAAAAAAACGCCTGGATATAACCACAAGAGCAATATAAGGTATCATGTACACGTTCCGCCAATAAGATCGGCAACCCAGTCTATATCGAGTGAGGGTATGTCAATGCAAGTGAAAAAGAAGAGAATATAAGAAATCAAGAACATAGGCAACGGCGACGCGCCTCGTCTTCGAGGGAGGTCCCACTGGCCGCGGCGAATGTATGCGACGCTTGTAGCAATCGAGCCAAATCATCGGACAGCTCAGATCCGGGAAAGAAGAGAAAACAGAACACCGGTAATGCAGGAGTGCCCATAATGTCCACCACAAAGCAGAGAAGTCGGCTGTATGTATAGAAGAAACCGTAATCATGGATCCAGTCACCCAAGCATCACCGCGGCCAAGGCCGTACAAGTCAACCCAATGGCCATACCAATCCAAGGTGTTTGCCCGAGTGTGCCTTCACTCCGTGCTCTCAGCGACTTGGTCGATCCAGATGACGCTTCCAATGAGCGCAGTTCGATAGATCTGTGGGCGGGTTCAGATGGTTGACCTTCAAAGACAGGCATTGGGACCCTCTGTTTACTGGGGATGACTGCCACAGCAGGGTAGTCTAGACTTGGAGTAATATCATTCCCGAACTGATCGTAGATCCGTTGGTCATCAATACTCGAGGGTGCCGTAAGTTCTGGCGAAGAAGTGGAGGGTAGGTTATCTGCTGAGGGTGTGAGAGCAACGGCAGGCTCTTGCTCGAACTCGGCTGCCAGAGCCACGGACGGGACGAGACAGAGGACGATGTTGGATATCTTCATATTGATTGCGACCCTTAGTGGGTTGGTTGACCGGTACAGGTGTGTCGACGTTCGGTAAGCGTAGTGAGAGTCGCTCCTCCTGACCTCCTGCTGATGCTGTTTCAAGAGACGACCCGTTCACACGTTGAGGATCGATTCTCAGGTTGAATTGTTGAACGAGGTCGTTGTCGAGATTCACGCCTGGGCGAAGTCGAGCTCCGTGCTAGAGCTCAGGAGACACTATTACTAAACGAGCGACTTGCGTCTCCTGCAACGGGCGATATCCGAGACGAATTCGAAACCTGAGCCTGTGAGGGGGAAACGACGACACTCAAATGACGGAGCAACAGATCACAACCGACACGCACACACAAGGGGATCAGAACTTTTGAAGGTAGATCAGACAGCTGAAGACTGATGAAGGGTAAGAAGACGAAGAAAAGCAAGGAAACCTGCAAAAACAAAGGAGCAGCAAGCAGTCGTCCAGGAGGCGGACTAGAGACGAGACTAAAACCACTCAAGATGAAAAATGAGAGGCCCAGAACCACAATATCCATCCACCTTAATTAAAATCGAAATTAGCGTTTACGCACGCTCACTTAAAAGGGGGGGTGGGGGGTTTTCGATAGGTGGGGTTGATCACTACGAGGCTTCAATTTCCCTGGTTTTCCATTGGTTTTACCAGCCGTGTCCGCACGGTCTGGGACTAGTAAGAGCCGATCGTTGCCTCGTGCAAGACTTGAGAAGCTTATCAGAAATTTGCAGCCAATCAAGCTGCGTGGGGCAGGGGTTAGGTTCTGCGACGGTGGCTGCGGGTCTATTCCCCATTGGTCTCATGCCAAGGCAAAAAAAGCGACCAGTCAGGGCTGCCAGAGGGTCCACGCCCGTGTGATGTAACAATGTATATCTGCCGTCATCTCGCCATATATAGAAATCATGGGTCGTAATTAAGCATCAAGAAGTTAATACAAGCAGGCCAGAGAGTATGTATGATCCTGCACGATCTTGTTTGCTGGATAAGCACAAAGACTATTTATGTCACGCCTCCTATCGGAACTAGTAGCAGAATAAAGTATTCGAACTATCTTCATGGCTGCAGGTGGTCACACTTCCGGTCAATTCCAGTAAGTTCGCTTGCCTTCGTATCACTTTCACTTTTCCATAAATAGCAGAAGTCCGAAGAGATGTGATTAAGGTCGACGGAAGCGAACTAGAAGCCTATGCTAAGACCGGCGATATCAATCGCTAATGCATACCTATTGTCCTTGGGATAGCGAAGTAAATCGGATCCCAGCCAATCGGCCCTAGCGAAAAGGATACTGCAGGAGGGCCATATAATCCGACTGACTAATAAGGTACCTAGGCAAAGAAGCCCGACTCTCACTCTTGCTGATTACCTGATACACATCTACGTCCTGGTGCAGAGGATTTCGGGTTCGGTCTCTCATTGACTACCTCCGATGTCTAGCTAAAGCTCTTAAAACTCCAAAGGCCGTAATCATGCATTGTACATGTTCTAAAATCGCTACCGTATGCACACAGTCAAGCCCAAAAAGACAAAGATGTTCGTAGACATAGCCATGGCAACCACAAACTGTGTCTAATGCTTTTATATTGCGCCAAATCCCCTTTCAAAGCATCTTCTCCCAGTCAGGCGTGACAGTGAACTTGCCACTGAGCTGCCCCATAGCCCATACCCGGTTCTCTTCCTCTGGGATGCCATCTTCCGGCGCCGAGACGATGAGAGCCTCCTGGAGGAAGTCGACCGATGTAGCCCGGTCGAGCTCGAAGCTGATCCCGCCCCAGTTCATGGTCACTCGACCTGACTTGTGAACGTTCAGCTTTCCGACTCGTCCGGCGCGAAGCTGCCAGTCAGCCGCGGTGAGGATCTTGGACGGCTGTTTGCTTGTGGTCCCGTCCGCCCCATCCAGAATCTCTACTTCGCCGCTCTCGAGCTTGACGGCAGCTTCGCCTGATCGTGTGCCCCCCGGGACAGCCTGTGTGTCTTCTGTAGCCGCTTCCTCCGTGCTGCCACCAGTGCCCGGGACTATAAGGTTGGGTGTCATAGGAGGGAACTGCATGAGGAACAGTTGGCCCGCCAGTTTATCTTTGGTCTCGTCCTCTTCGGCATCCTCGGCTTTCTCTTCTTTCTCTTTGTCACCCTCTGCCGTTTCGGGTGCTTCTGTTGAGACCTCCGCCGCTTCAGCCGCCTCCGATTGCTCTGCCCTGGACTCTTTGGGCTCGACGGAAAGAAGTTCCAGAACGGCCTCAAGATCCTTGGCATGTCTCTCATATTCTTCAATATCTTCCTTTGTACGCAGCAAGCTTCTCGGGTCTTTAGCCACAGCAGGTTTGGATGGAGGTACGGGTGCGGGTGCTGGTTCCGGCTCGGGAGTCTTGGGACTTAGTCGTCTGCGGACTTTGACCTTCTGCGCAGGAAGAAAGCCATCATCATGCGTTGTTTCACCGACATGGGGAACAGCATCAGCCATTGTCTGGTCGTCATCAACAGGTTCCTCTTTCACCTGAGGCTCAATCACATCGTCGTCCCGCACGAAGAGAGAATCGTCTTCGGGCCTTGTCTTCTTCGCACGAACTTCCTCCACTTCATCCTCAGCCTTGGTTTCAGCTTGAGCGGGTTTACTCGTGCTGGACTCCATGTTGACACTCACGACACGTTCCTCGTGCTCACGGCGCTCAACACGTACTGGCCGAAGGCCCTTCTCCAGGTTCGCATACCGCAAGGGAATCTTTCCCTTCTTACTATCCGCGACATCGCCCAACTCCTCGTCGCTATCGACCTCAATCTGGTCAATGGGGAGTATAGTCTCCGTATCACTCTCATCCGAGGACACATGGCGACTAGCGGAACCACTAGCTATATCGATAACCGACCGACTCCGCGACATAGACGACGCTCGCGAATCCGGTTCAAACCGCCCACCACGGCCTCGTCGCCCGCCTCCAAGCGGACCCCCAGGAACCCCGCGTCCTCGCCCGGGACCTCCCCTGCCTCGCTGTAAATTTCCCCGTCCCCGCCGCATGGCCGCCACCTCAGCCAATCGCTCCCGATTCCGCTCCGCCTCAAGCTTCTCAATCGCATCTCGCTCTTCTTTGCTGCGCCGTCCCACGGCGCGGGGCTTGTATTTCAGTGTCGGCTTCGCCGGCTCTCCATTCCCTGGCGTTGTCGCTGCGGGAGTTCTCGCCGCGGGTCCGATGCTTCCGGAGGGGGTGCGCTTTTTCAGAGTCTGAAGGCGCTGCACGGGTGCTCGTGTGGAGGGCGTACCGGCTGCTGTGGACGGTTGGGGTGTGGATGAGGCGGATCCAGTAGGAGTGTTCGATGCGGCCTCGCCAGTGGATTGTCGCGAAGCTGTTCCTCCCCCTGCTGCTGCTGCTGCGCCTCGACGGACGGATTTGGGAGGCATGGTTGCTCAGCGGGTCTGGCGCGCACGAGGTGTGTGCTTCGACGGAGGGAGAGAACGAAGGAATCAGTACATTGATGAGGCACCAAAACAAGGATCCAGATGTTCCCCCTGAATTTTCTTGGTAATAGAAAGTATATCGATAAAGAAAAGAAATTCAGAGATTGAAAATGCGAAAATGAGCCTGCTGGCGAGCTTGTTTGTGGAGTCTGGAAGGTGAGTAAAATGATCCAAGTCTTGAGCGGAAAAAAAAGAAGCGCGCGTCTAGCGCTTGCATGCGGAGTTGAGAACCATCACTAGTCCGAATACGGCAATATGAGAATCAGATGAGCTACCGAGTATAGCTGTATAAGGACTCAAGCGCATCGTTAATCAAGAATATAGCGCCAAATCATCCGAGGATGAATACTGCTGGCTGGATTGTTGGAATTATTGCAAGGGGCATATGGTCCAGAACCTGTCTTACGAATTAAAGCTATGACGAATCAGGTCTAAAAGCAAACAATATATATTCCTTACTCAACGACACTAGACCTCACACTCAAGCTGAAGTTCAAATCCGGCAAAGCAGGTCAAATAAATAAAAACAAAAACTGAATAGACATAACTTGTCAGAACGCACTTCAGTGTAGATAAATGAGTGGAGGCAACCCTTGAGCCAAGGTGTCTGCAGTAGAATGAAGCACACGAACGCCAAAAGATAAAACAAAGCAAGATAATCAACCCGCTCAGTTCAATCGCTAGACTATCCATGATAAACAGCAAGAGACTTAAAACGCAGATGGCAACAGGACACGGACTGAGAGATGGAGAGAACGTAAGGAGCGCTAGCGCTCGTAGCACGGATACGGTAAAAAAGCCGTGGTCGAGTCAATGGTTGGATATCCAGTACCGAGTCCGCGCAGTGATTCACTTTTCGAGGGTTGTTCTATATGACTTGGGATGTAGGTGTTCGTATCGTATTTGCGGTAAAGGATTGGAGGATTCATCAAGTTATAAGGGAGCGGAAATGTGTCAGTGAATGAAGGACGGGAGGGTTGAATCCACTTGTCGAAGGGAATCAGATAGCACGTCGAGAGCAACATCATCCAAGCGCTTTGTTGCTGTTTAAGACAGATGCAGATGGTCCGAAAAGAATGAGATGCCATGAAGATGACGGAAATTGCAAGCGAGAGAACATGCGCTAACGCTTGCGCTTTTTGTTCTTGTCTGCTATAGCGGACGAGCAAGGCATAGCCGTAGTTCTAATCAATTGGGGCTCGTTGCCTGTGGGGGTAGTCGCGTCAAGGGCTTTCTTAACTGGTACGCCCATATGGCGACCATAACGACCTTTGCGGCCGTTTCCCTCGTCTTCACTAATGCAGCCTTCGATACCAATACCGGCGTCCTTGCACCGACCACAAGGACGCTGGCGATCACAGCCCTTCTTGCTCTTGCGGCATCGCTGACAGCGTGGCTTGGTTGAAAGGTCCTCTTCGTCCGCAGCAAGCTGAGTTTGACCGTTGACGGAGGATGTAGAGGTCTTGCGCACAGGAGTAGGGCTAACGATCTGCGACGGTGGCGCAGCCTTGTGACTCACCACAGTGGTTGTCGACTTGA